CTTTATCTCTGGGCTCTGGGGCACGAAGTTCTAAAAATAGCCTTTGAAGCTCATTGCTCAGGAAGCTGGGGCCTCAGTGGCAGGTGGGGAGCCGGGAGGGAGTGGCTTTTGGGAACTTGCTCCTCCAGGTCCAGTTCGTGCCAACATTGTGCCCGGACCTGAGATGTTAGGAACAGACAGGAAGCTCCAGGATGTGACCTCTGACCTCCAGGGGTTGGGAGTCTGATTGCAGGTGTGTGGTGGGTTCGCCACTCAGAGATGAGAGGCTTTGTGTTATTTGAGGTGGTCATTGGGACTGTGAGACTGCATGTGGCATCATCTTTGGCATAAGTCCTCATCACCATGGCCTATGGGTCCCCATGATCCAGTCCCTCGACTCACCCCACGGTCTGTGCTCCGGCCCAGGGGCTCTCAGGTTTTTCTCCAGCCTGTCACCTCCTTGGACATGTTGGCTCCGGGTTGGACACTTGTTCTTCCTTCTTTGCCTAATTAACTGTCACTCATCCTCCAGTCGCAGCTCCTAGGGATCTTCCCAGGAAGACGGTCTGGTCTCCACTTCCGCTCGGTGACATTGTGACTAACTAATTAATGTGGGATTTCCCACTTTCTGTTACCTCTTCTGGGTCTGTCCTTGACAGCCTGTGTTCAGCAGGAAGATCACGACTCTACTTATGTCATTTCAGATGTTTTAGTGGTTATATTAAAAAGAAAAAAAAAAACCAAATCCAACTGCCAAGTATTCCTATGGCCGTAAAAATACATCATGAAACATGTCATTTTCGCCATTCTGAGTGAATTCTGCGGCGTGAAGAGCAGTCACATGGCTGGGGTATTACCCCCGCCATCTCTCCTGGAAATGTTCCATCATCAGAAACAGAAATCCCTTTCAATCCCTTTTACAGGTTCTCATGTAGCCCAGGCTGGCCTCCAACTTACTAGGTCGCTGAGGATAGCCATGAACCCCTGCTCCTCCTGCCTCTGACTCCAGGTATGTCAGCACACCCAGCGCAAACTGTAACCCTAGTCAAAGATCAGCCCCTGCCCTAGTCCCAGGCAGAACAGAGTCCGTCTTATACATTTGACTGTCCCAGATGCTTTGCACAAGCGAGGATATGTTAAAACGGGCTTATACCTGCGTTCTTTCCTAAACATCCTGCTTTTTTTTTTTTTTAAAAGAAATTGTTATTATCATTTTTGTGGAGGGAGCATGTATGCCAATGTACATGTGTAGAGTTGGTTTTCTTCTCCCACTTTGATGTTGGTTCCAGGAACTGAACTTGGATCACTTGGCTTTTGCAGTAAGTACCTCTACCCACTGGGCCATTTTTGCTGGCCCAGCATGCTGTGTTCCAGAGTCATTGGTGTGCGTGCGTGCGTGCGTGCGTGCGTGCGTGCGTGCGTGCGTGCGTGTGTGTGTGTGTGTGTGTGTGTGTGTGTAAAGGCCAGAGGTCAACCTCTGGGATTCAAACTCAGATCTCTGGCCCCACTGGGCTCTGTGTCCCCAAAAGACCTTATCTAGGGAGGGGCTGAATCTAGATGTCCTCTAAAAAGTCCCCTGTGGCTGCTAAGGGTCTGTGGTCGATGGAAGGCATTAAACAGGTTAGTCCAGGTTTATCCAACTCTCTCCCCTTGGAGTCGCCTACATCCCTTCTGGCTCTGGGTGGAGGCAGTGTGGATACATTCCAACACACTGAACTCCCGGCACACTGGGCTGGGGCACTTTGCTGGGGCTGTCTGTGGAGGGAAACTGAGCCACCAGGGGCATGTGGTGGCCCTGCTGAAGCTGCATGGCAGTGAGCTGGAAGACAAAGGGGTTTGGAAAGCCTCTCCCTGCCACTCATCTGGAGATAAAAATAGCGAGCCTTGAGGCACCCGAGGCCGTCTAATGTCGCCTTCAGCTCTCTGGAATCTGCAGACACGAGCAGTTGGAGAACTAATATAATGTGTGTCACTCAAGGGAGGCAGAGCATTAGACTGACGGAACGTTCTGGAATTAGCCCTGCCTCAGAGGTTAGCCTTTTCCAGTCTGGCTCCTCCGGCCATGGGTTTTCTTCTGTGGTTCTCATGGGTGTTGTGCTGGACAGGATCCCCTTGCTAATGCCCTTACATCCCTGCTTAGACGCCTGTGTGGCAGCCTGTCTGGAGTGCTGGATGTGGACAGGCACAGTTGTCTTTAGGATGCAAACCAAAGGAGGCAGAAATAAAATATAGACACCATTTTTCCATCTCTAGCTCCCAGGCCTCCGTGTCTCTAGGCTAGCCACCTGGGAATGTCTGCCGTGAGTGGAGTTCTGTCTATGGTAAGGTCTTCTGCTTTCTTCCTAAATTAAAAAATGGGCGGTACAGGTGATCCCCTCTCACCTACAGTTCTGTGTTCTGCAGTTTCAGTGACTTACGGTCAGAAATGTTCAATGGAAAAATCCTTGAATCATCCACGTGTTTTAGGTTGCACATTGTTCTGAGTAACACGGGAAAGCCTTGAGTCATCCTGCTCGCCTGTCTGGGATGAGGAGCTTTCCTCTGTGTGATGAGTCCATGTTGTGTATGCTACCCTCCTCTTGGTCATTTAGATGCTCTCTTGGTTATCTGATCTGTTCTTGGGGTGTCTGTGCTGCATACACTACCCTCCTGTTAGTCATTTAGAAGTCCTATTCATTTACCGATCCTCTGTTGGAGTATCCACGATGTGTGTGCTACCCTCCTGTTAGTCATTCAGAAGTCCTATTCATTTATCCATCCTCTGTTGGAGTGACCACGATGTGTGTGCTACCCTCCCATTCATTATTTGGATGCTCTCTTGGTTATCCAATCAGCTGTGGGGGTGCTGCAGCGCTTTCATTCAAGCAACTTTTAGTACTGAATGAGATGACCCCCAAAGCAAAACTGCGGTGATGCTGGCACAGTGGACATGCCTAAGAGAAGCCATGAAGCTTCTTGTGAGTGGAGAGACAAACATTTTTGACAGCATAAGGAAAGAAAAGGACTCACGTGTGGAGCTTGCTAAGAAGGACAGAACGGTCTCTCTGTGAGCTGGTGATGGAGGAGGAGGAGGAAGTCTCTGCTATTGTTGCTATTGTTCTGTGATCGCAAAGCTATGACCATGGAGCATGGAAGTCCTTGCTGACGTTCTGTGTGGGTCTGTGAGTGTCAGGACATCTGTGTGGTCATGGCCCAGATCCCCACCACTAAGGAGCACAATGATCAGATGGCAGTAGCGTTGTGACAACTTGAATCTGTGGCTCTTTCAAATCAGCCATTTGACTCAGTTGTCAAATATATATTGAAACAAGATCTGACTTATACATCAAGACGAAGAAGTATGAATTATATGCAAATACATAAATATAAGTAAGTGCGAATTGCAACTCCGGGTGGCAGGCCCTGGGCAGGGTGGAGGTGGGGATGTTAGTCCAGATAACATCCTGAGAACGAGTCCAGCCAGCAAGATGGATGATACACAAGACACCCGCATACAGCCAATTCTCACCCTTTGCGGAGTCTACAGGTGTGAACTTAGAAGCTTTCTGAAAAGTATTTATCATCCCAAATCAAGAGTTACACATACCGAGTGGTGGAACCTTCCGGTCTTTGATGCACATGTTCCCAGCTGGGATGGGGCCAGGTCACACTCCACTGCTACATGTTGTAGCTCTTAGAATATGTGTGATGGTTCATACTGACCATCCACCTGACAGGAACTCGAGTAACCTTGGCGACAAACCTCTGGACATGCCTGTGTAAAATTATCTAGATTATGTTAACTGAGGTGAGAATACCCTTCCCCCTCCCCGCCCCCAGTACGGACTGCGCCGTCTCACGGGTTGGGGTCCTGGACTGAATAAAAAGGAAGAAGCGAGCTGAGCTCCAGTATTCACCTCTCTCTGTTTCCTGGCTGTGGATGTGAGTGGTTAGTGCACTTTCCTGCTGCCATGCCTTTGCCTTAGGTGAGGGTGAGTGGGATGTGCGGGGGTGGATAAGGATGTGTGGGGGTGGGAAGAAATGGGTGAGGATGGTGGGGATGGGTGAGGATGGGTGAGGAAGATCAGGATGGGCAGAAACAGGTGAGAATGAGTGGGGATGGAGGAGGATGGATGGACCAAGCCTTTTTTAGATTGGTGGTGGGGGGCGGCGGCAGCAGGGGGGTGGAGTGAGGGGGGGAGGGTGTCTTGGAGCAGTGGTTCTGAACCTGTGGGTCATGACCCCTTTGGCAAACCTCCGTCTCCAAAAATATTTACATGACTGTTCATAACAGTAGCAAAATTTCAGTTATGAAGTAGCAATGAAATTAATTTTATGGTCCGGGGGGTGGTCAGTACAGCATGAGGAACTGTATTAAAGGGGTGCAGCATTAGGAAGGCTGAGAGCCACCGCCTTGGAGGCTCGGTTTCCCTATCTGACGACACACGTCTTGGATCTCCAACATCAGATCCAAGTATCCAGCAATGGAAACACACTAAAGCCGGCTGAAATAGGTTTCCAATTTTGGATATGTGATCCTGGGGCTGAGAGGATTGACTCTGACATGGTGGATATTGTGTCCCAACCAAGAAACAGGCTCCGCCATCAGACCCCTGGAACTGAGTGGGATCTCAGCCTCAGACAAGTGACTGGACTTTTTCTCAGAGCTTTAATTTCCTCTCCAATCTCACAGGATTATAACGAGAGTGTAATGAAGTAAGGTGGGAGGGGGGAGAGGAGGCAGGGAGGAGCCTGGGCCAGAGTCAACACCCAGCGTCTGCTGCTGTGCCCACCAATAAACGTGCTTTGCTAAACACCCACCAGGATGGAGATGATGCTGATGGTGGTGATGCTGCTGATGGTGGTGATGCTGATGATGATGCTGATGGTGGTGATGATGCTGATGGTGATGATGCTGCTGATGGTGGTGATGCTGCTGATGGTGGTGATGATGCTGATGATGCTGATGGTGGTGATGATGCTGATGGTGGTGATGCTGCTGATGGTGGTGATGCTGCTGATGGTGATGATAGTGGTGATTATGCTGATGATGGTGGTGATGGTGGAGGTGGTGGTGGTGATGGTGATGCTAATGATGAGATCAGCTGATGGGAAAAAGTGAGAACCACTGCATGAAGCTGGTGGGAATGAAGAGTGGCACAGCCGGTCAGAAAAATGGTCCAGTGGTTTCTAGGGTGGTTAGAGAGCATTACCCCCTGGCCCAGAAATTCCACTCCTACTTTATGCTCAAAGCGTTGGAAACAGATAACCACACAGATGCTGGTTCCTACACGTTCCCCACAACACTGCGAACGCCAACACAGTGTGCTGCGTCCAATGGCTGTTGAGTAGAGAAACAAGCTGTGATGCCAATGTCGACCTCAGCCATGAGAAGGAAGCAGTGGGCCGTGCTGCAGTGTAAATAAATGATGCAGCCTGAGCCAGACCCTAATCACCATGCATGGCATGGTCTACCGATAGGAAAGATCCCACGAGGGCAAATCCACAGAGACGCGAAGCCGTGTCCTCGCTGTCAAGGGCGGGAGACAAAGAGAACAGAGGCTGACTGCTGATGGGGACAAGGCTTAGTTCTGGGTACGGGGTTCATCTTGAACTCCCTCCGTCGAGGTAGCCATGACACAGCACTGTGGACATCCTAGACGCCAGCGGGCATCACACTTGAAAGCCCTTCTGTGGGGCTGAGGAGATGATTCAGTGGGTGAATGACCGGCTGTGCAGGCTTGAGGGTCTGATTATAGCAGGTGGGGTGGAGCCCCTCACCTCATGGCAGCCAGAGCAGAGGACAAGGCCAGGAAGAAGGGACAGGAAGAGGCTGGAGTTGAGGTACATCTTTTGGGGCACCCCTGAGTGACCTCCAATGAGGCTCCACCTTCTGTAGCTCCATGGGTACTTCATAGCCTGTTCTGATTTAGGGTCCAACAGTGGTTGCAGCCATCAGATCGGATCATCCCTGGAAAAGCAAGATATGGCCAGAAGCATGCTGGGACAATCTCCCAAGCAATTCTTATTTCTTATTTAATGAACTTGGCTGTCAGGGTTATGATCGCAGTATATGCTCAGCAAATATTAGTGGCTAATAATAATAGGAGCTAATAACTCTCTCTCTCTCTCTCTCTCTCTCTCTCTCTCTCTCTCTCTCTCTCTCTCTCTCATGTGTACACACATCTATGGGTAGAGAGCCCTGTGGTTGGCCTCAGGCATCTTTTTTTTTAATCTTATCTACTTGGGCAGAGTCTCTTGTTAAATCTACAGTTTGCTATTCAGTTGAGTCTGGCTCACCAGTTTGCTCAGGGAATCCGGTAATCCAATGCTGGGATTACCTTGGGGCCACCATACCCAGCCAGCTTATAGGTGGATTCTGTGATCAGATCCTGAGCTCGTTAATTTTAGTCAAAATGGGGGCTGGAGAGATGGCTCAGAGGTTAAGAGCACTGGCTGTTCTCAGAGGTTGAGAGCACTGGCTGTTCTTCCAGAGGTCCTGAGTTCAATTCCCAGCAACCACATGGTGGCTCACAATCATCCGTAATGAGATCTGGTGCCCTCTTCTGGCCTGCAGGCATGCATGTAGGCAGAACACTGTATACATAATAAATAAATAAATGTTTAAAAAAAATTTTAGTCAAAATGATACAAACCAGAGTCACCTGGGGAGAGAGACCCTTAGTTGAGAAACTGCCTCCATTAGATTGGCCTGTGAGCATGTCTGTGGGGTATTTTCTTAACTGATGTGTTAGGGTCCAGGTCACTGTGGGTGGTGCCACCCCCAGGCAGGTGGCCCTAGGCCAGTGGTTCTCAACCTTCCTTAGGCTGCGACCCTTTCAATACAGTTCCTCATGCTGTGGTGACCCCCAGCCATAACATTATTTTGTAGCTACTTCGTAACTATAACTGCTGCTGTTGTGAATCGTAATATAAATATCTGATATGTAACCCCCCTCAAAGGGGCTGAAGCCCACAGGTTGAGAACCACTGTCCTAGGTGATATAAGAAAGCAGGCTGAGCAAGCCATGGGGAGCAAGTCAGTAAGCAGCACCCCTCCATGGCCTCTGCTTCAGTTCCTGCCTCCAGGTTCCTGCCCTGCTTGAGTTCCTGCCCTGACTTCCATCAGTGCTGGACTGTGATGGGGGAAATGTAAGGCAAATAACACCCTTTCCTCCCCGGGTTGGTTGTGGTGTTGTTGGTCCTAGCAGCTAAAAGCAAGTGAGGACAGGGCCTGATGCTCGTGGGGCAAGCCCTTTATGGACTGAGGTATCTCTGTAACCCCGGAGAATAATTTTACACAGTATTTTTAGTGTGCCCACGTCTGCCCTGTAGCTGGTCACATGGGGTCAGCCATGGAATTTTCCACTTGGTGCTTCATGGTGGCCCCATAATCGTTTTGGACTTTGGAGTCTTTTAGATCTTTGGATCAGGGCTGCTTAACTCATAATCATAGAAGCCGCCGTCGCCGCTGCTGTTTCTATTCTTTAACTTACTGTGAGTCTGGAAAAAAAAAATCTTCAAGCTGTATCTACAGATCCTGCTTCCCAGCCGCAAGTTAGAATGATTTAAACAGCAAGCACTTGGAAATATGCAGGGGACTTCCAAGCCCCAGTAGGCAATCCTGGAATGGTGAGGGTGGGGTCCACCCCTTCGCAGCTGCCTCTGAAGGGCTGAGGCGTGCGTGACGCTGGCTCTGAAATCCAGACAACTTCTAAGCTCATGCATTTGCCTGTTTATATGGTTTCAATGGAACGGGACAAAGCAGTCAGACACTTGCCTAGACTTTCTGAAATCATTTTCTCTCTCTCGAATGGCGTTTTACTTCTCCAGTCCCTTATCAGAGAATGTCAAAAGGAAAAAAAAAAAAAAAAACACCCTATGCCTTGAAATGCCTTTAATCAGTCCTCAGACCTTTCATTTTTTAAAATCTATTCCCTTCTCTCCGCCCATCTCAAGACTTGAAATAAAACGATTTTTCCAGAAACGGGTGACAGGAGGCAAGGGTGACGATTAATAACCCCGGAGCCCATGCCACCACACCTTCCCTATTTAAAATGAAAAATTACCTTTTTTCCCTTTAGACTTTATTAAAAAGAGGATCAAAAGTGGGGGGTTCTGATAGCATACAGCCCATCATCGAGGCGCTTTTGAAGCCTCTCTGCTTTGGAGTCGGCTCTGCTGGCTGAGCAGTTTGGATAATGAAATAAAACTGTGCGCAAGCACTTCTTGGGTCCCGAACTTCTGATTTTTGAGCCTTTGGGTGTGGAGAGGAAGCAGATTTGCCTGGGATGAGAATGTGCTGGGGGGTGGGGTGGGCTTCCTTCCTTCCTTCCTTCCTTCCTTCCTTCCTTCCTTCCTTCCTTCCTTCCTTCCTTCCTTCTCTTTTTAACTGTGAAGAAATACTTCAAGAGGACGACTCCCTGAACCCGGTGGAGTGTCTGTCTGTCTGTCTTTGGAGGAACAGTGGGTCTTGGGAAGCATTGGGTCCCCACACAGCAGCAGGATATTGTGTGAAGGCATTGATCTCCATCTACTAAGGGATTTTGATCAAATCCTCTCACTCATCTCAAACTTGATTAAGTAGGCCAGTGACCCCGCCTTCCAGGAAGACAGAGCAACTGATCCCCTCACTCTGAGAACCTGAGGTCAGCCACCGTCTCCCAAACGTTCTTTTCCCTCCTATTTGTTATATTTTAAATGATGTATTTGTGTCTGAGTGGGATGTATACGAGAGTGCAGGTGCCCTGAGAGGCCAGAAGAAGGCGTCAGATCCCCTTGGGGCCGGAGTTACAGATGGTTGTGAGCCTCCCATGTGGGTGCTGGGAACTGAACTTGCGTCCTTCATGACAGCAATATCCTGTTTTGACCATTCATTCATCTTTCCATACCCAGCTCTCAACCCCTTCTTGTTTAAGACAGGAACATGGGTAGTTCAGGTTGCCTTCGAACTTGCCACTTAGCCAAGAATGACCTTGAACTCCTGATCCTCCTCAGTGGGGTTCGAGATATACAGTGTGTGTCAGGGTTTGTTTGTTTGTTTGTTTGTTTGTTTTTGAGACAGGGTCTGTCTGTGTGTAGCCCCGACTGGCCTGGGACTCACAGAGATCTTGCCTGCCTCTGTGCTGGGATTAAAGATGGTGTGATATGTCAGCTTTAATAACTCCTCCTCAGTGTTTAGCACACATGGATCCTTCCCCTGGGGGGCTTACTAGGGATGTGGTGCTTTAACAGAGCACACTAGCACAAGTCCACACACTCACAGACCCCAGGGCTTGGAGTTAAGCAACAAAGCTTAGGCTCCACCCTCTCTGGGGGTCTGATCCCCGCCCCTCCCTCCCCTGGATCTGGTGGGTGACCGTTAGCATCCTCGCATCCCTTGGCTTGTTGCTACATCCCACGAGGCTCTCCTTCCAACATCACTCTGCCTCTGCATCCTCTCTATATTGAGACAGGGTGTCAGTGTGTAGCCCAGGTGGCCTGGGATTGGCTGTGTAGACCAGGCTTGTGATCTTCCTGCCTCAGCCTCCTCCTGCCACCAAGCTTGTCCCCTCCCCTCTTCGTACAGCTATGGCCGATCAGGGATGACCTTATCCAGAGTGAGCTCAGCTCAATTCCATCCGCACGGACTTTGTTTGCAAATAGGGTGTTGGGGTAAAGAGGCCCACCTGTGGCGTTGCTGGGTCCTTTCTCTTACAGCTCGGTCCTGAGGTTGAAGCCAGGCCACATGTCGCTCCCCGAGGGTCTGTGTCTTCCAAATCTGCTCTTTACATTTGTTCAATGCAGCATTTAGCTGAGAACCCAATCCACGTCCATTTACTGTGAGTTGCCTTTGAGACCGGCTCTGTTCTTTTTGACAAACTTCTGGAAGACTTAAAAAGTAGACAATGAAACAGCAAACCAGCTCTTCCTGCCCCCAGACTTCTGTCCCCACTGGTCCCTCAGCCTGGAGCACCGCTCTTCACTGTTGGCATGGTGACCCTTCTTGTTCTCAGCAGCTGATATGTGGTCTCCTGGGGCGGGGCATTGTAATCGGACTTTTTGTTGGGTCCATTAGCTCCCCAATAATGACCCAGAAACTTACTAATTATCAAAGCTCGGCTGATAACTTAGGCTTGTTTCTAACTAGCTCTTATAACTTAAATTATCTTTTTTTTTTTTGTTTTGTTTTGTTTTTCAAGACAGGGCTTCTCTGTGTAGCTTTGGAGCCTATCCTGGAACTCACTCTGTAGACCAGGCTGGCCTCAAACTCACAGAGATCCACCTGCCTCTGCCTCCTGAGTGCTGGGATTAAAGTGTGCCACCACCGCCTGGCTAATCTATGTTCTTTTATGTGGCTCAGTTACCTTTACTCGGTATTGCTCATGCTGCTTGCTCTGTGTCTCCTGGCATCCCCAGGGCCTTTTCTCTTCCCATCTTCTTCTGTGCCTGGAAATCCTACCTAGCTATTGGCCATTCAACTTTTCACTAAACCAATCAGTGACACATCTTCACAGTGCACAAAAAGATTATCCCACAACGAGGCATTCCCTAATCACATCCTGAGGAAGGCTCCTTCACTCCCCTCTTTCCTCTGACTCCATCTGTCCTTCCTCCCCCCTTCCTGTTTTCGTGGTGCTGGGTATCAAACTAGGGCCTCAAACATCCTAGGCAAGAGCACTACTCCTGAGTCTCATCCCAAGCCCTCCAGTTTCTTTTTTTTATTTTATTTTATTTTTTTAATTTATTTTTTTTAAAGACTTATTTATTATGTATACAGTGTTCTGCTTGCATGTGTCCCTGCAGGCCAGAAGAGGGCACCAGATCTCGTTACAGATGGTTGGGAGCCATCATGTGGTTGCTGGGAATTGAACTCAGGACCTCTGGAAGAACAGCCAGTGCTCTTAACCGCTGAGCCATCTCTCCAGCCCGCCCTCCAGTTTCTTAACGGAACTGTTTGCTTTGGTTTTGGTGGTCTGGGACAGGGACTTGCTGTGTCACTGGGGCTGACTGACGATTTTCATTGGGTACCTGTGGAGCCACATACAGTTGTAAGAGAAGGTCATAGGGGGTACCTGGAAGGCTTCGCTCAGTTTCTGTCAATGGTCACGTCTTGCTAAATGATAGATGCACAACCAGGGTACTGATACGGATGCAGCCCAGTGATCTTGCCCAGACGTGCCCAGCGTTGTGTGTATGCATGCACGTGTGCTTGAGGTGCATGTGAGTGTGCATTCCGTTCTGTATAATGTTCCACAGTGGACTCCCATGTCTATACCACTGTCAAAATAATGAATGGTATATCTCTCATCTGTTGCTATTTTATAGCCACATCTCTTCCTCCCATCCCCTCACCACCACCCCCACCTCTGGCATCTGCCAATCATGTCTAAAGAGTTGTTCCCCGTAAGGCTGTGGAAATGGAGTCAGAGAGTGAGCCCTTTAACGTTAGTCTATTTGTAATCCCTGGAGACCCACCTGAGCTCTGTGTGTGGGTCCTCGGCTCCTTCATGCAGCAATGCTGTGGCCATGGTTTGTGTGGACCATCTGTTAGCCACTCACCATCACTGACTACCACACACTGTTTCCCTCCCCATAACCACGTGAAAGGCCTCCAGGAACTCATCTGCTTGTCCCATCAAGTCTTGGGTCCGTGTTGGAGTCAGGTATTAAGATTGTTCCATAGGTGGGTAGTTTGAATGTCATTGCCCCCCCCAAAGCCCACAGGGTGTGGCACTATTAGGAGGTGTGGTCTTGTTGGAAGTGTGTTACCATGGGGGCGGGCTTGGAGGTCTCCTATGCTCACACTAGGTCTAGTTCAGCTCACTTCCTGTTGCCTGAACAGTATGTAAAACTCTCAGCTCCTTCTCCAGCACCGTGTCTGCCTGCACGGTGCCATGTCCCACCATGATGACAATGGACTAAAGCTCTGAACTGTGAGCTGCACCCAATCAAATGTTTTCCTTTGTAAGAGTTGCTGTGGTCATGGTGTCTCTTCACGGCAACAGAAACCGTGACTAAGGCAAGCAGCACCCTTGGCAATCTTTTAGAGCAAACCCTGACGCGGTTGGATGTTGGGACCCATAAAAGGCAGGGACTGACTGATTTGCTTTGTGAAGTCTTTGGGGTGTGGGCTTCGCAGCCATGAGGCAGTGGAAGGCAAGGCTGCTAAGTGGGGGGAAAGCAGGGAGATTTCAGTTTTGTTTGTGAGGGCCAAGTGGTGTGATCGGATGTTACAAATGTGCCTGTGATGTAGCACATGTGTGTACTGATGTGCATGTGGTATACTGAGCATCGGACATAGTGAACATGAGGTCTATGTGCATCTGATGAAACATGCCTATGCTATAATGTACTTATGGGCAGTGTGTGTCTGGAGTAAGGGGTACGTGAGGTGACATGTGTATGCTTTAATGTGTTATGGTCTGATGCGTATATGATGTGGTATGTGTGTGGTGCAGCATGTCTACCATAGATCATGTATGTGCTGTGAGGTTCCTATGATGGGACGTGCTTATGATATGAGGTGTGTATGATGCAGTACACAGGGCATGAGGTGTGTGCAGACAACAGGAGGTGTGTGTGATGCATTGCATATATAGCATGAAGGATGTGTGAACACACCATGTGAGCCACACACAAGGTGGTCAACACAAAGTGTGAGGTACATCGAGGTGATAGATACACAACACGAGGTGTGTAGGAGGTGTGTGTGTGCACATAGCATGAGGTGTGTGTGGCCTGAGGTGCATGGCGGCAACATGTATGTCATTTACTTAATGTGCAGGTGCCAGAGCATGCACGTTATGTAGGGTGCATATGTTGGAAGGTGCATTTGATGCAATGTGGTACACTGGACCCATGAGGTGACCTGTGTGTGCTGTAAGGCACATAGAACGCGACCTGTACGCCACATCGGGTGCAGAGGATGTGCGCTGCATACTGCATTGTGTACATATGATGTAACCTGCATGTGCGGTCATCTGTGTGTCGTGGCATGATGTGTGAAAGGGTGTGCAGACTGTGTAAAGGTGCACACGATACATTGTGCTGAGTGTAACCTGCTGTGATGATGTAAGATGCTCGTGGTGTGATGCATATGTGGTAAGGTGAGGGTGGCGGATCTCTGCCCAGGTGAGCCCACCTCCTTTCTTCTGGCTTACTTGCATCTCTCCAAGCGATATAAAGACTCACCTGCCTGCTGGGCGGTGGTGGTGCACGCCTTTAATCCCAGCACTTGGGAGGCAGAGGCAGGCGGATCTCATGAGTTCAAGGCCAGCCTGGTCTACCAAGTGAGTTCCAGGAAAGGTGCAAAACTACACAGAGAAACCCTGTCTCGAAAAACCCCAAAACAAAAAACAAAACAAAACAAAACAAAAAGGAAAACAACTTTGGGGATTTAGCACAAGGTCCTGAGGTCGGTCCTCAGCTCCGGAAAAAAATAAAAAAAAGACTCACCTGTTGTGACGTCAGATATGCATGATGAGACACATGGCGTGGTGAAGAGTGGATGGTGGATCTCTGTCCACAGCAAGCCTACCCCTTTGCCCCTTCCTTATGCGTGTCTCTCTCTGTTCCTTTGCTCCTACCCAGGTGGGAATCTCTCCAAACAAGACTGGATCATCCAGTGGCCCACCACGGAGCCAGGGCAGGACAGCAACCCTGTGTGCCCCCCGGAGTCCAGCCCGTGGATCCGCACCCACCTCTCCCAGAGCCCCAGGGTCCAGTCCAAATGTATCCAGCCCTTCTGTCACGCCAGCCCTACGCCCGGGACCCCTGTGTACACCCACGTGGACAGACTCACCGTGGATGCCTACCAGAGCTTGTGCCCGCCGCCGCCCCTGGAATCAGGCCACCGCTCCCTGCCCCCGTCACCCCGGCAGCGGCACGTAGTCCGCACCCCGCCTCGCACCCCGAATATCGTCACCACCGTGACCCCTCCTGGCACGCCACCCATGAGGAGGAAAAACAAGCTGAAACCTCCGGGGACGCCACCACCCTCCTCTCGGAAACTTATCCATCTGATTCCCGGCTTCACAGCCCTGCACAGGAGCAAATCCCACGAGTTCCAGCTCGGGAACCGTGTAGACGAGGCCAACACACCCAAGTGAGTGGGGTCAGTGGGTGTTCTGGGGTGGCCGAAGCCCGGGGAGCTGCTCCTCCGAGGAAGCCGGAGACAAACGGTCGTGTGTGTCTGTGGGTCTAGTTAACGGAAGTTGGCTTTGCGCTGTGTGTTCCGGGAAAGTAGGTTGGGAGGAATTTTCTGGAGCTGGCAATTACTCTTCACAGGATGGTCTTTAATATTTCTGAGGGTTGGTAGGGCATATCACAGCTTGGGGCTAAATTTAAGCTGTGGCCCATTTTAGTAGATAAGACTCACTGGGACGCAGGCAAGCCATCCGGTTAGTGTTGTCTGTGAGTACTTTTGGGCCACAATGGCAGGATTGGGTATGGCCCACTGAGTCAGAAATCCTTATCCTTTGGATGGAGGCAGAAGGGGGCTGGCCCCTGCAGGGTCTCCCTCCTGCTGGCCCCAGAAATAGGTAAAAGTTACATGGTAGCCTTGAAGTATCCGGTAGGCATATTAAAATGAGTTTTTAAAAATAAGCTATATGACTCTACCAAAAATCATTATCATTCCAACACAGCGTCAACGTAAAGTGTGGTTATGAAGGTAACTCTTTGTTCTTTATGAGGTCTTTGACATCCAGGGTGGGGCAGAAGGCCCCATGTGGATATGGGGGCTGGGCACGTAACAGAGACCACACCAAAGAATTAGGCAAGGAGTGATGTCACTCATGACCCCTAAGGCAGAGACCCCCTGAGTGCCACTCAGCAGGTGTGTGAGGAAGTGAGGCAGGGCCTCTGCACACAGGGGAACATTATTCAGCAGCATTGGAAGGGGGGGGGCACTTCTGACATCTGCTATGATGTAACGGAGCCGAGTCTGCAGACAGGAAGCAGAATGGTTAGGGAGAGAGAAATGGGGGGGGGCAATATTCAACGGGTACAGAATTTGGGATGAGGAAATTCTCTGATGACGGTTGGTGGTGTCATTTACACAACCCGGGAAGCGTTTTAACGCCTTTGAGGTTACGTTGAAAACTGCATCCCCTAGTTAATTTTCATGTTAAGTGCATTTTTTGCCACAAACAAGAGAGGTAGGGTCCTGTCATCCAGGGGTTCACAAACTGTGCAGGGCCAGGCAGTGAATATGGCAAATATTTTTTGGCCGTGCCGGCCGCATGGGTTTGTATTGTCACTGCCCAACAACCAGAACAGCCTGTCCACAGCAGGTAGGCAAATGTGCGAGGCCGTGCGCCAATAAAACTTTATCTATAAACACAGCTTCCAGCTGGTCTTGGCTGTGGTTTGTCTTAAGCCCTGGTGGAGAGGTCGTCTCCCTTCTGAGGTGCCGTAGAGAGGAGAGGGCGATTGGATGAAGGCTGTTCCAGCAGCTGGGAACCCGGCCTGGGAGACAAAAATCCCTTGGCCCCTCAGATGTTGAAGCAAACGAAAGAGGCTTTTCTCATCAGAATTCGAGTTGATGGTCATGGTTTCATGAGATCCACAGAGGCTGGGGCGTGGAGACCTGAGGTGAGGTGGTGGGAGGGAGTCCCAGGAAGGCTGGTGGTGAAATTACCAAGGACAGTGGAGAGCGGCCTGGGCTCTGCCTCTCACCATCCCTGTGTGAATTCTGAAGTGACTCTCACTCATCGGCCTGCAGAGTGTCTGGACCGATGGCATTTTTTTTTTTAAAGAAATATTTTTTAGCTTTTGAAATTAAAATATAATTACAGCATTTTCGCCTTCCAATCCTCCCATGCACCCCTGATCCCCCTTGCTCTATCCTAAGTTCATGGCGTCTATCTCTTTAAAAAATATGTATATATTCCTAAATATATAAATATGCCTGCTGAGTCCATACAATGTTACCTGTATGTGTAAGTTTTCAGAGCTGAGCATTTGGTATTGGATAACTGATTGGTGTGCTCTTCCCTGGGGAAGACTATTTCTTCTGCTCCCAGCATGCCTTAGTTATCTGTAGTTCTTTGTCTAGGAGTGGGGGCCCCAGGCGACCCATGGAACTTAAAAAAAAAAAAAAAAGATGTATTTATTTGTTTTATGTACGAGTGCTCTTTCTGCACATACACCTTTATGCCAGAAGAGGGCGCCAGATCTCATTACAGATGGTTGTGAGTGAACATGTGGGTGCTGGGAATTGAACCCTGGTCCTTTGGAAGAACAGCCATTGCTCTTAACCGCTGAGCCATCTCTGTATCCCCAACCTATGGCATTTTATCTGCACACGAGAGGCTGTCCTTCTGTGTTTTCAAGGCCAGCTTTTCTCCAGGAGACCTTGACTTTGTCTGACACACCAAAGCCACTCCTTCGGCAGGACCCGGCCCCTTCACAGGCGCTGGGATTCCCTATCAGGATCTGGTGGATCGGAAAAGCAGCAAGGAGAGGAACTGTGGTCACTGAGCTCTAACAATGAATCTGGGGGGATAAGAGCCGGTGGTGCTCAGCGTGTTTGGAGCTGGTCTTGGCTTCCACCGGGTGGTGTCCTTGGGATCTTGGTGTGGACTCTCGCTCTGCTCTCCTGTCAGTTGGAATATGTTCGTGATTTCACATCTGAGGTTAGGAGCCATTAGTAGATGGCGATGTCAGTTTTCACGGGCTGTGACCAGCATTGGAAAGAGGAAATTGATGGACGTAGAGGAGAATATATTGGGAAATATGGTGTGGTGCAAGAGTCAGGATTGCTTCTGTGGGACTTGTTCACACCCATGAATACATACAATTACACATATATGCAAATGAGTACACACACATATATATACATACACCTACGAATGAATGTGCACAATATATGCACATATACACATATATGCAAGTGAGTGCACACACATACATACATGCATACGTATACAAATGAATGTGCACAATATATGCACATATACACATATATGCAAGTGAGTGCACACACATACATACATGCATACGTATACAAATGAATGTGCACAATATATACACATACACACATGCAAATGAGCGCACACACGCCTATATACATATACACACATATGCAAATGATGCACACACATATACAAATGAATGCACACATATGTGCACACATACATACACATTTATACCCACATATGCAAAGGACAGCACACATACATACACACAAACACATATATGCACACATGCATACACACAAGTACCTATACACCCAAGCATGAATATGCTTTTTCTGCCCTGCTTTCCCCTCTGAGAGCTCTTACTACTCAGGGCAGCTTTGGTTCTAGAATGATCCCCACAGGAAGTAGGTGAGAGGGCACACCTCCCCCTGCCGGCACGGTCTCCATGGGAACTGGCACGGTGGTAAGGCAGAGCATGAGGTCACAGTCACTCTGTGAGAAGGGAGGCCCCAAAGCTGCCGACTCCGTGACTTCTCTAGTGTGCAACCTGGGAGGCTTTGGATCCGATACAAACAAGTCTGGCGTTTTCAGCCACGGGTGGCACTTGGCACACGGGTGGCGTGAAACGTGTGATCTGGGCGGCTCCGAGTCCTCTCTCGGGCCTCTACAGAACGAACCGGTCTTGACCCCCAGCACTACGTAAACCACATGTAGTGACACACGCCTGTCACCCCAGCACCAGGAGGCAGAGGGTCAGGAGGTCAATAAGAGCCTCCGCCGGCCGCACAGGGAGTTCGAGACTGGTCTGAGCACCGGAGAGCTTGTAAAAACAAAACCGGAAAGAAAACAGTAAACAAAGGAGGACTCGAGTGGGCGGGGCCCTGTGATGGGTGGGGCCGTGTGGTGGTGGGCGGGACCAATGTGGTGGGCGGGGCCGTCACTTTCCTGTCTACAGCCTCAAGAGAACGTTGCCATCTTCATTTTTCTCTTCCTTCCTTCCTTCCTTCCTTCCTTCCTTCCTTCCTTCCTTCCTCCCTCCCTCCCTCCCTCCCTCCCTCCCTCCCTCCCTTCTTTTTAAAATTTACTTGTTGGTGTCACCGAAGACACATGCGCGTGTGAAAAGGAGTGTCTGTTCACCCAGAGGAATGCTGGGTACTGAGGAAGCTTGAAAAGTTCAGGAAGGGGGTTGGGGATTTAGCTCAGTGGTAGAGTGCTTGCCTAGCAAGTGCAAAGGCCCTGGGTTCGCTCCTCAACTCTGAAAAAAAAATGTTCAGGAAGTGTATAAAAGAAGACAGGGCATGGAGGTCTGTCCTGCGGCCTTTCCTTTCCTCAAACAATTACATTAATCAATCAATCAATTAATCTATCAATTATGTATGTGTGTGTGTGTGCGTGTGTGCGTGCGGGTGCGCGTGCGTGCGCGCACACCACAGCATGCATGTGGAGGTTAGAAGACAGTTGTTTTTTGGGAGTCAGTCTTTCCTTCCACCACATGTGTCCTGGGGATCAAACTCAGGTCCTCAGGCTCCCTGGCAAGCAACTATTTTTAGGGCTCCGTGTTGCTTCTGCTCAACAAGACCTTGAAACAGCGAAGGTTGAGAGTGATGAGGAAATCCCGCCTCCACCCCTGCCACATACGTGTGCTCGAGTGCATGCATACACGGACACACACGTGCACTCACTTACACACATTAATGCACACACATGTGCACTCACACAATACATGAATGTATATATTGTAACTTTTTGTTCCAAATCCTTTTTTTTTTTTTTTTTTTTGGTTTTTCGAGACAGGGTTTCTCTGTGTAGCTTTGCGCCTTTCCTGGAATTCACTCTGTAGACCAGGCTGGCCTCGAACTCACAGAGATCCACCTGCCTCTGCCTCCCGAGTGCTGGGATTAAAGGTGTGCGCCACTGCCACCGGCTAGAACATTCTTTGTGTGTGTGTCTACTTTAGAACCCTGTGTTCCCGTAAGGCCCATGGCTCAGGCTTTCCCTGGCCCGAGGGGAACCAGGCTGGGAGGATCCAGAACCACTGACCCGCCTTGGCCGCGATCAAACCCGACTCCTCTTTCCTGCTAACTCCGATTTTGCGTCGGGGCCCTGTGCTTCTGAACCATCCATTATGTAAATTAGGTTTCGGGAGAGAGATTCTTGTCTATCTTAGAAAACTAATTATGTG